CTACAATACGACTATAAGTAGTATCCATTTCTTCATCTCTACCAGGTTGAGCTCTAGAGGAACTAATACCATTGTTTAAAGACTCCAATTTGGAACCTTCCCATTGTCAAAATTGATTCGCCGATTGAGGTATCATTTCATTCAATTGATTGTATTTGCAGATCTAAGTTGTTGTTTTTGTTCTGTTGATTACTCATAGGTAGGTATCCATTTCTTCATCCCTAATAGGTTGAGCTCCAGCGGAGCTATTACCATTGTCTAAAGACTCCAATTTGGAACCTTTTCATTGTCAAAATTGATTCGTAGACTGAGGTATCATTTCATTCAGCTGATTGTATTTGCAGAACTGAGTTGTAGTTGTTGTTCTGTTGATTCCCCATGCTATTTTGACATTTCTTTACTCTTATATTTAGGACGCCCAATTTTTCTTGTTATAGCATTGCCCTTTCAATATTTGGTATCTCTATCAGCGGATTTCAATTTACTTTGAGTGTTGTTATCTTTTCCTGCAACATGTGTGAATCCTTAGACATTCTGGTTGTATCTATGAGTTCACCTTCATGAATGTCACAATGCCTTTTCTTGTAGCTTATGTGAATCCATTAGACATTTTGTTTGTAGCATTTGTAATCAGATGTCTTCGCTTTATTCATTTACATTGTATGGTGCCCGATTTTGATATTTACGGATTCTCAAATTTGGGCATTTGTTTTTCTCTAATTGTACAATAGCTTTAGCTGTTTGCGAAATGTCTATGCTCTGGAACTGATTAATATATGTACATGTACAAGTGAAGGCATAGTTAGTGAAAAAATCTGTCAACTTATTCCCCTCTCTGTATGCATGAGCTATTTCCACATGCTCATTCTTTATGGATCAGGATCTGTAAAAATGAAAAAGATAACAATCCCCACAAATTGAAAAACCTTGGTCTTAGTTAAAATTAGAGTTGTCTCATCAATTATAGGATAATTGTGAGTTTTTTGATAACCAAGATTTGATGCATTTCCTTGAAATCCGAACAATATACAAGTTGAAATTCTCTTAGATTGGATGCTTATACGTGGAAATAACATTGGTTGGAGTTGGCAGTTGGCAGTTGAAGACATATGTAGTGTAGTGATTCTTTCGGATTGAATTGTTGTTTATGTTAGCAATTGATGGCAACATTCAGAAAATCATGTTACCTACGAGCAGCAAAGAGCTCATGAGTTCTTCATTTCAATGCTGGATAGGATCCATGACAAAGTGGGGAAAGCAAGTTTGGCAATCAAAAGGTATGTTTTGATGAGAATGGTTCTTATACTTCTTGTCTATGTAGGACATCATATGCGCATGTTGCTTAGATAGTAATACATATTTTTCATCTCTTTCTTTTTGAAATGCAACACTGTGAGTAGATATAGTACAGATCTTGTCTCGATTTTCGATTTCAAAATTTTCGCTTGTACTTCCTTTTGGGATCAATTTCATTGATGAGAGAACTAGAGAGTTTTGTGGCTTCCTCTTCTACATTGTCTCTTATAATGAAACATTTCTCAAATAGATAATGGAGATACCCATCGTCTCTTGAGATCCCTGATGTCACATGTGCATCATGTTGTTTCACTACAACTACTCATGATCCTTATATGGACGTTTCTCTCAACTTGAGTTCTTGCGACTCCAGCCAAAAAGATTTTGATTGTAAGTCCAGTAAGCCAAGTGAATCTCTTGTAGGTTTCTTGGACCTCTTTACAAGACCAGAAAAATTGGGATCCGATCAGAAATTGTAATGTGAAAATTTTCAGGAAAATAAAGACGCGTTGAAACAAATGTCCATAAAAAAGCTCCCACTTGTGCTCTGCGTTCATATAAAACGGTTTGAACATTCTCCCGCCAAAAAAATGTCCAAAAAGATCGATCGCCACGTGCAATTTCTTTTCTCTTTTGATATGAAGCCATATATCTCATCTTCAATTGTAAGGAAAAGACACGGGAACATAATCTTTTCATTTTACGGTGATGAATCAGATGTTTATACAGAATTTGAAATTTTTGCAGTGATCACACATTCAGGAATGTTAGAATCTGGTCACTACGTGACTTATATGCGTTTGAGAAACCAATGGTACAAATGTGACGATGCATGGATAACTGAAGTCGATGAAGAAGTTGTTAAGGCCTCACATTGTTATCTGATGTACTATGTACAGAAGATGCTCTACCACAAGAGATGTGGGGATGTTAGCTGCCAGCCGATGTCGCTGCGAGCAGACATATTTGTTCCAATAGTTGGTTGTTCTTAGAACTTCATAGTTTGTGCGTCAGACTTAGATAGGTCTTCTGCATAATTCTGGCTAGCCAGGGAATAGTATTCGGGGGCCGTGAAGCATGATGGTCTAGGGACTCTCCATCTTCCAAGGCATTCTCGTTAGAGGGATGATACCGGAAATTATATGGTAGTATAACTCAAAATTTGGATTTCGAGATAGAAAGTTGTTAACTTGTAAGAGTTCTTACAAAGATGCAACTAGCATTAGTTTTCCTTTTAAGGCCTTAGAAAGAGCCTTATGAATGTACAGTAACTTAACAATGTTAGGGCCAGGAGGGCCATATTGTGCTTGGTCCCCTTTATCTCATCTCTTCAAGATTCTGATAATGTTCGTTATTGGCTTCTTAAAAGTGATCTCATTTCCTTTTGGTTTGTTTGAGATTTGTGTTATAACTTATTACATGTAACTTGATTTCTCATTCAAGAACATAATATACACGAAAAGCTTGATGAATTTCATTTCAGGAAAGATGAATGATTTTGGTAAATGTCAAAAAGTTATTTTGTTTTTCCTATTCACCAGATGAGATGCCCCTATCTATAAAATCGATTACCGATAAATAACATAAAGAAATGTAACTTGTGGTTGTTGAAAAAAGTTACCCCAAAGATTTGCGTGATTAATTGGATTAGAAGCGCGGAATGTATTTGTGTCATCGTCGTCTTAATCAGTGAAGCTAGATTTGGCTTTTGAGTGACCTCATAAGAATTTACAGGGGGATGTCTGTAGGGTGTTTTGGCGGGAGGGAGAGGACATTAAAAGACGTTGCTTAATTGACAAATAGACATAGTTATATCCATAGTACATTATGGAATGTGAATCTTCTTCATTTAAATCGATGACTAAAAATTAATTTTGTCATTGCATGTATTTTTCGAAACATGAATGTGACTTCTTTTTTTCTTTTTGAAAGAGAAAAAATGCTCAATATAATACTTTATACGTTTGTTTTATTTGTCTACTATGTTTAAAATATATGTTTTATAGTACCCATTGATGGTGTTGAATCAGAATGTCCAAAACAGGTGCTAATTTTGATAAGTGATACTGGTGGAGGTCACAGGGCATCTACTGAAGCAATTAAGGCAACGTTCAACAAACAATTTGGAGATATAAATATCAGGTCATTTTGTTAGATAGTGTAGGATTTATATGTGTTAGCTATGATAAAGAATGTGAGTGTATGTGTATGTTTGTGAATTATGTTTTATTAGTTTAAAGAGGGTGTGCATTGCAGGTATTTGTTACTGATTTATGGATTGATCATACGCCGTGGCCCTTCAACCAATTGCCAAGGAGTTACAACTTTTTGGTGAAATATGACCCTTTATGGAGAATTACATATTATGCATATGCGCCTCGTGTAGTTCATCAATCTAATTTTGCTGCTGCATATGCTTTTATTGCTAGGTTAGACAACTTCATTAGTTGAATCCATAATGATGTCCTAGTTTGGCCTGCATGTCTGCTGACAGAAAATATAAAACTTAACTTGTATAAGAAAAAAGAATTTTTAGTTACTGCTACAACAGGAGTATACAACAAGATTGTTAGAAGGACAGTTTCTGTTTTGCAAGCTAACACGTTCACAAATGGGAAGTTACTCCATTTTAATGTATCAAATGATAATGTATATTTGATTATGGGAATGGTAAAGGACAAGTTTCCCTAGTATGTTGTTGAGTGTTATGTATCTTCTTGAAATACATTTTGAATGTCTTTTTTCCTAAATTCATTAGAGGCTCAATGTGTATGCTATAGTCTTTGGTTACTAATCTTTGAATATTGAAATCCATGTTCATGTCGCAAATATTTTATAGACTTGGAGCTACATATCGTGATTCGTGGCAATAAACAAACCACTTGGCGTGGTCTTATTTCAAATATGATTATGAGTATGTTTACAATAGAATTGTGAGTCTTGAATCACTATCGAGCGACAATGAATTTCCCTTGATTGTTTGGTTCTGTAAGACCTTCTCTAATTGTTGTGGTCAAAATAAATGTGTCTCATAACAACACAAATCAAATTACACTATTGATACATCTCGTACTTATCATACATTGTTAATTTATTATCAATTTCCCCACTTTCTCTGTTATCTTGCATGTTACTTTGAATATTTTGTCATCATTTTGACCTTAGGATCTCACAGCATTTAAACCATTTTGGCTAAAAAATTATTAGTCTTTTAGTTTTCTCTATGGAGCAAGACTTATTGAACCTCTATATTCAGTATTCACTCATACGCCCAGCTTACAGTTGACTAACTTGACATTTGCTAATTATTGTTGCTTATGTCATATACCTTAGAGTTCTTCTCCTATACTGTGTGTAGGAAGGTTGCTAAAGGTTTAATGAAATACCAGCCGGATATCATTATTATTGTACATCCTCTAATGCAGCATGTGCCTCTACGTATCTTGAGGTCCAAGGGGCTCTTAAAGAAGATTATATTTACTACTGTTGTAACTGATTTATGTACTTGTCATCCATCATGGTATATTTAACATACATATTAATTGATTTATGCCCTCGTCATCTGACATTGTACATTTTGCACGTATTCACCAAAATGTGTAATTTGGACACTAGTACTTGATTTTCCCTCACTTTCAGATTTCATAAACTTGTTACAAGGTGCTACTGTCCATCGGAAGAGGTTGCAAGAGGAGCACTGAAAGCTGGCCTCCAACCATCTCAATAAAAAGTTTTTGGCCTTCCTGTGCGACCGTCATTTGTGAAGCCTATTTGCCCAAAGGTAAGTGAAGTTCCCCCACCGTACCCTGGTTGGACTATACATTGAAACATTAAGTCTCTGTTATAATTGTGCATTTATTTTAAATGGACAGTAGTTCCTTAAATTATAAATGGCTCGTCGCTTCATTATATTTCCATTTTTATTTTAGGACTTCATATATAGTCAGTGTATTCTTCACGTATAGTTAAACTATATTCAGCTTTCTGAGTGTGTCATAATGTAAAGTTAGTGTATAGTTTTTTTTCTTTTAATCAAAAGCATTGGGTCTTGCCCATTTATTGAAAAATTAAGCCATAATATACATGACTTGAGTCCAACCCAAGCCCAAATTTAATAATGCAATTACTAAAAAGCTAATCATAAAAATAAACAAAACAAATATAGAAAGCATAGACAGTACAATAGCTCTAGACGACCTTGAGTAATCGTGGGAAAGAGTTGCAAGCTGAATCGATGTTCTTAAAACACAATCTCGCGGTCGAGTAGAGATTCACCTTGGGCGTTCACAAGTCCCACGAACATCATGAATTCATACTCAATAAAGACTCATTCAACAACTAAATCAGGGTTTCCTTCTCAACGAACTCTAATCGATCTTCATAGCTACAGTACGATTATAGGTAATATCCATTTCTCCATCCCTAACAGGTTGAGTTCCAGAAGAACTAATACCATTGTTTAAAGACTCTGATTTGGAACTTTCCCATTGTCAAAATTGATTCGCCGACTGAGGTATCATTTCATTCAGTTGACTGTATTTGCATATCTGAGTTGTTATTTTTGTTCTGTTGATTCCCCCTGCTATACATTTTTTTACTCATAGGTAGGTATCCATTTCTTCATCCTTAACAGGTTGAGCTCCAGCGGAGCTAATACCACTGTCTAAAGACTCCAATATGGAACCTTTTCATTGTCAAAATTGATTCGCAGACTAAGGTATCATTTAATTCAACTGATTGTATTTGCAGAACTGAGTTGTAGTTGGTGTTCTGTTGATTCCCCATGCTATTTTGACATTTCTTTACTCTTATATTTGGGATGCCCAATTTTTCTTGTTATAGCACTGCCCTTTCAATATTTAGTGTCTCTATCAGTTGATTCCAATTTACTTTGAGTGTCGTTATCTTTTCCTGCAGCATGTGTGAATCCTTAGACATTCTGGTTGTATCTATGAGGTCACCTTCATGAATGTCAAAATGCCTTTTCTTGTAGCATGTATGCCATTAGACATTTTGTTTGTAGCATTTGTAATAAAATGTTTTCGCTTTATTCATTTACATTATATGGTGCCCGATTTTGATATTTACGGATTCTTAAATTCGGGTATTTGTTTTTCTCTAATTGTACAATAGCTTTAGCTATTTGTGAAATGTCTTGTATGCTCTGAAACTGATTAATACTTGTACCTGCACAAGTGAAGGCATAGTTAGTGAAAAAATATGCCAACTTATTCCCCTCTTTGTATGGATGACCTATTTTCACATGCTCATTGTTAGGGATGGCAATGGGGCGGGGCGGATGTGGGTTGGGCGGGTTTAAGGCTATGCGCTTAAAACTAATGCGGGAGGAAGCGGGTTGCGGGTATATGTGATTTTATGTAGGTTTCATTTTATTTTTAATTTTTTACATGTTATAAGAGTGATAGAACATTATTTATTAAGATAATTTCTTTAAAGCTTCTAAAATATCAAGATAGTAAATGAAAATGGTTCAATAAAAAATAATTCAATTTCTTACATGTTTTCCAATTGACCTCTAAAGAATAAAATTTTAAGTAACTATACTATTAAATTAATACAACTTAATGAAAAAATAATTTTGTTTTTATTAATTTTATTTTTAGTATCAAACTTAACTTGAAAAAGAAAATATTAAAAAAAATATGCGGGGCAAGTTGATAAAAACAAAAAATAATTTTATTTTTATTAATTTTATTTTTAGTATCAAACTTAACTAGAAAAAGAAATTATTAAATAAAATATGCGGAGCGGGTTCATGTGGAGCGGGTCTATGCGGGGTGGGATGGGGCCGGGCGGGTTGAAAATGAAAAATAATGTTATGCGGGCAGGGGCGGGGAGGATTAAAAAATTTGATGATTATGCCCCGCACCACCCCATTGCCATCCCTACTCATTGTTCATCATCATTTGAATAGCCCTCACATTCACCGAAATCAGCCAAGGTACCTCCCATATACCATTTAGGATCTTCATAGTTGTTAATGAATCAGATTCCATGATTATTGGTGTCAATCCATTAGCTACACAATATTCCAGGCCACTCTCAAGAACCTTGATTTCAGCCTCAATAGCTACACATTCTTTCAACTTTCTGGCTTCAGCATAATAAAATCTCCATTTGAGTTTCTGATACAGAATGGTACTGAGGCAGGCCCAGGGTTGCCCCTACTAGCCCCATTAGTATTACATTTGAAACAATTACTAGATGGTGCCTTTCATATCACTATTTTGCTGCAAATTAATGGCCTGTACTCCTCTAGATATTTAACCATTTTTGGCCATGTGTTAGGAACTCCACTCATCCATGGGAACTTAGTCTTGACAAACCAAATCGATTGTCTTGTGATTCCCAGAATCATTGCTCTGATGGTCATATTGCTTCCACCCAAAGCCCTGTAAGCATTTTGCAGAGTACAAGGTGAAAATGGTATATGTGGGTACAATTTGATTCAAGATTATTTTAGGATAACTACATATGGTAGGACAACATTGGAGATGTCGAAATTGGAGATACCTAGATGTAGTGTTTGTAGTGGGTATCAGGGGAGAAGATTATACATGTGTTTGATCTGGTCATTAGTGCTTTGTTGTTTGTCAACTGAATTATGTCCTTTTGCATAGACAGTCTCAAGATGGACATGAGATTTTAGTAGATATGGAAAGGGTTGAGCTTTATTGCTCTATGTTGTGATCAGGTGTATAATCCTGATTTTGATCAGGCTGTGATGCGTAAACATATCAAGGGGTTTTCAAGAAGTGAAAATGGGGTTGAGGAGAGTGAAATGCGATTGACTAAGAGGAAAAGGTTGAGTTTTGGGATGGATTAAGAATCAACTTGTATTAAGGTAAGAATCACAATATTTGATAATTACTCTACACAACAAAGTTTTTCTTTTCGCTTCTTTTTGTTAAGTACATTTTTCTAACTTTGGTTTTTTTTAAGGCGAGCGAAAGGGCCTTGGGGCACGGTGCCTCAAGGCAGGAGAGGGAAACCTCAGGGCAGGCCGGTGCCTCGAGGTGGGCGGGTGGGGGAGAGGGGTAGGGGGTTCAGAGCACGACAGTGCCTCGAGGCGGTGGGTAGGTGGGCCTCGAGGCACGACTGTGCCTCGAGGCGGGAAGAGGGGGGACTCGGGGCACGACGGTGCCTCGAGGCGGGAGGTGGGGGCCTCAGAAAGAAATCTGGAAAAATAATGAAACTGACAGGTTCTCTTGTTCTTCAGCTTGGTAGGTCATCAAGCAAAATGGTATCAAGGATATGACCAGCAGTCATAATTGGCATAAGCACTTACTTTTCAAAATTTCTCTTCTTAATTGGAGAGCTTTGAGAGGTAAGTTGCCTACCAAAGAAAAAATCAGCATTTTTGGTAAAAGTCCAGCTTTGTGTTCTTGTTGTATTAGACAAAGAGAGATAACATTCCACATATTTTTGTTAATGGTCATTTTGCCAATCACATTTGGAATTTTGATTCAACTCATGTAAATTTCATGATAGGAGGTAGAGTAAGGGTTACCAGTTAGGATGAGTTAGAGTATACTTTAACTAGAAAGGAGTTTATGATGATCTGTCATTGTGTTATTAACGAGCAATTGTAGGTGTTGAATAGAAGAACGTTCGTTTGCTGATATTATTCAATAGCCATGAGATAAGCCTTTCCCGAGTATTAGATAAAAAGGAATGTAGACTTATTTAGAGATGATGGAATATATCCATAACTTTCAAGTGTCAGTTTTAGACCTTAGGGGGAGATGATAAGATGAGAAATCAAGTCAAGTGTTGAGAATAATGAGATAGTTATGTTTTCCGAAAGAGTGGTAGAGGTACATCAATCCATTCATACTCTTGCGTATTCCTCAAAGTTAAGTTATTACAACATCTTGTTGACGTTTCTAATATCAGATTAATACATTAAGATTGGCTTCTTATATGACATATAATATGTGTTGTGGAAACACAACAGTTTCATAGTTTTCAGCAGGTCCTGCACTCTCCGTAGTAGTCAACATGAAAAAAATAAAGCAAATAGGTGAGGAAAGAGAGAGAAAGCAAGCCTAGTCTCTAGTGAACTATTATTGAAAAACGTTAGAGTGGGTTAGAGTCCCTCATCGGTAAGGGAATGGATTGGTGGTCTGTTTATTTGGACTTGATCAATCCTCCCCTCATGAGCTAGCTTTTGAGGTTGAGTTAGGCCAAAAATCATATCTTTACAAAAATAACTCTCAGCAATAAGAATGTAAATTTGGTTTGTGAACATAACATACCTTGGGAAGTAATAGTATCTCCTTACCATATGAACTGTGTTTCCAGCATATATAACATTTATATTTAAATTATATAAACTAGAAAAGTAAATGCAAAACGTACCTCATGATGGTCATTATCAATAACTGTGCAACAATGCTTATCAGCTAGTTCCAATTCCCCCATGTCCAGGATCATGTCAAACTCAAGATTAGGTATTACTCTTTGCTAATAAGTACAATACATGATTTTAACTCTTACCTCTATTTATTACTACTTGTGATTGTGTCGGGATTATGAATTATCCTAGTCAGATATAGGACAGGAGCAAGTGAAGTTTTGATGATAAAGGTGGAGAAACTGAAATCATTAGGACTCGTGATTTATTAATACATCTAGTCATGAGGTAGAAAAGAGATGATATCTAATGCTCAGTAAATATTCTATATCTTTTAATTTCTCCACCATTTATAGAGATTCTCTTCTTGCACCTCATTTATTCATATCGTAGTAATTTTCCTATTATTCAAGACCTTGATCTATCCCTGTGTCGTGGTCGTAGCTATCTCTTTCTTTTTTCTTGCAGGAAGCTGGAAATGTGCCATATGTTGTCGAGAACGGATGCGGGAACCAAAAGAGATAGCCAAAATCTCGAGTCTTGTGATTTAGGAATTCAAAATCAATCTATCTAACCATCTCTCTCTATATATTTAAACAATATATCATGTAATTTTTCTTATGGAAAAAGGATAAAAAAAAAAATCTACAATTAATAATCTGGTCCAAAAATGCTCATACTGCCAATGATTTTACTCAAAAATGTCATTATCACTTAATAGGTCAAAACACCCTTTTTCTTCATAAAAATCCCCTATTCCTATTAAAGAATTTAGTTCTTGTTTCTTTTCTTTTAAAATCACTTTAATTAATAAATACACATAAATAGGAAATTATCATTTTTTTCTTGTTAATATCATTTTAACAATTGTAATAGATAATTCAATGTTCCTTTTTAACTGAAAGTATATTTTATATATATAAAATCATAATAATCTTCATTAATTTTTATTTAGATAACAGTAAAAAGATTTCTAATATTTTTATTTCTTAATGTTTTCAAGTCAAATGTAGCAAATCTTTTAGTCTTAAACTGAAAATTTTGAATTAAAATAAAGGAGCCCCATGTAACAACCTTTCAAACAGACAAAACATGTTAGTTACAATGTCACGCCCGGAAATATACTCTATGAATTTAGATGTCAAATAAAAAGGCACAATTCACGTTTAAGCTTTTCTTGATAATGTCAGTCAACTTCAATATAAAATGCATTTCAACTCTAAACTCGTAATTACACATTTTCTCCCCTTTTTACAACCTAATAAAACCACCAAAAGCCTGGAGTTTTTTCTAACAAATTTTACTACTTTTAGTAAAATTACAATTATATTTTTCTAAATTACAATTATGTTTTGGTAACTTTGTTTGTGAGTTTTTTAAGATATGGTTTGGAAATACAATGTTGGATTAGGGCTTATAGGAGTTTTTGTGTTTATTGGGTTGCTTCTGCTGAGGTTATTCAGGTAAGCCTTTGTAATTTGTCCCAATTTCTGTTTGTACTCTGTCCCAATTGATGTTGTACCGTTGGAATTTCAAGAGTCAACAACAAATTTCTTTTAGATATTTTAAGTTGTGTAGTTATTATGATATATACGCACTACTAATATAAAAGATTTTGTGTCCGAATTCATGGTAAACTTTTAGAAGTTTGAATCACAAATTCCAACTGGGCCACATAAATTGTGGTGGGACAGAGGAAGTATATAGTTGGTTTATTTTGTGGAGTGCTTGTTTTCTTTTCAATTTTCATAGCTGAATGCGAAATTTGTAGTGGTTTTTGGACCGGAGATGCTAAGATAACACCGTTTATGTCCTGCAAAAGATTTTTGTAGAGTAAAAACAACCTTTGCAGTTATATATCTGGGGATCTCTCTTATGGCAATCTTCCTGCTTGTAGCAGTTTGTAAAGATCGGTTATGCAGTTTATTAGAGCAGAATTCCTTGACGAAACTATACACTTAAATCCTTCTCCTCGACGAGGACTCAGTTCTAGGTTTGCCACTTAAACTCAATGATATGCATGATCATCCTAAAGGATCTTTGAACGATTATTCTATAGAAGACATGGATTACAACGACCGGGAAGAAGGCTTTTCATTGGTTGATATTAACCATAAAAATGAGTTCCACTTTCTTAAAAAGGGCGATGAACATAACTTGTGGGACCTTGTCAAATGTAGCTTGTATCTTGCTCCCATATGATTTGCAACAAAGTTAACTGTTTCTGTTATGTTGAACAATATACTGCTTTCCGTACTTAAATCAAACATTTCTGTCTACATCTCCACCCTCTCCCCTAAAACAAAAACAAAACAAAATAGCGAGCAAAAAGGGGAAAAACTAAGTTGGTAGATGTGTTCTGGAAAGGATGTGCTTCACTGCCCGATCCTTAATCAATTTCGCTTCAAGATTCATTGTCATTTCACTCATTTGTTTAACCATGTACTAGCTTTTTATGGTGTCTTGGATTTAGAAAACAAATGTTTTTTGCTTAATTAAAATGTCTACAAAACATTGAGCATCTGTAAGATCTCTTGTTAGGAACTCATATTTCAAAAAGAGTTCCAAACAGAAAATTCACAAAGAGTTCTCTTTACTTGTAAAGTAAAAACCAGAAAGATCACAAAGATGGAGAACTTCTTTTGTCCGTATTTAGGAAATCGCATTCGATATGTCCTTTCTTATTCTTGAAAATGTATGATGGATGAGAATGGGGAGACAAAGACCATTTTGACCTCTACATCAGGCTATTTTACGCTTATTTCAAAGATGGTTGCTGTTATAGTTAGTATGAGTGGTGTAGCACAGACTACGGTTGGAAAAACATGGACTCCAGATGAAATGCTGAGTGTATCTATGTAAGTTTTAAATAAGCATCTGTTTATCGTATGACAAAATGTTGTACTATATGTACAATATTATCCCGTTTCAATTTATGTGGTATTGTTTTATTTAACATAAAAAAAATTATAAAAAAAAAAGAAAAGTTTTGAAATTTATAGTCTAAAACAAATCTTAGATATTTTTCAGACTATGAATCATTTCATTGAGGTTAATAATTAAATATTTTTTTAATCCGTAAAATATGACATTAAAGTATATCAGATATGTTGAGACTAAGGGAGAATTACACCTATTTGAGAAAATGTCAGTGTGCCCAACTTACAACTTAATTAATGTGGATGAACTCAGAAATTCATCAATTTTATACGGAACTTATTTGTCGGTATAGGTTGCCAAGGAGTACAGGCTTGTCCCAGACACACTGCATTTGATAATTAACTACTGATCGATATCTTTCGGGCAATTTGACGGACAAACAACGACTACAGTTGCTTGGAGTAGCTTGCATGATGAACGCATCGTAAAAAATACCTTCTAACCCTCTACTACATATGTTTTCGCCATAATCTTTACAATTTTTTCCTTGTAGTGCTTTTCATATTCTTGTTTCCTCAAATATTTCAAGCATATCTGAAAGAAAATGCTCTAAGATATTAATATGAGAAATGCTTTATTGTAGAAAATATGAGGAGATCTTTGCATCTCAAGTCAAAAAGTTCTGCTACATAACAAACAACACTTACTTCAAAGAGGAGGTATATGATCTTGATTCACAGAACCCGCAGTGGTCAAACTTTGCAGTGACACTAAAACTTAAGTATCATGCATGTGTTGCAAATAGAGTCGGTTGTTTTAAATTAATTGATGTTTGAAATGACAGCTCCAACAGCCAAATGTTTTCTGAGGTTAATATCTTACCTTTATCTAGTAGTTGCTTTTGAGTATGATGATTTAGGAACTTATTGTTCAGATATACTGCAAGAACAATGTTATAACTAGAAAAATCGGGCGTCCCAAATATAAGAGTAAAGAAATGTCAAAATAGCAGGGGGGAATCCTTAGACATTCTGGTTGTATCTATGAGTTCACCTTCATGAATGTCAGAATGCCTTTTCTTGTAGCCTGTGTGAATCTATTAGACATTTTGTTTGTAGCATTTGTAATCAAATGTCTCCGCTTTATTCATTTACATTGTATGGTACCCTATTTTGATATTTACGAATTTTCAAATTTGGGCATTTGTTTTTCTCTAATTGTACTATAGCTTTAGCTATTTGTGAAATATCTTGTATGCTCTAAAACTGATTAATACATGTACCTGCACAAGTGAAGGCATAATTAGTGAAAAAATCTACACACTTATTCCCCTCTCTATATGCATGAGCTATTTCCACATGCTCATTGTTCATCATCTTTTGAATAGCCCTCACATTCACCGAAATCAACCAAGGTACCTCCCATATACCATTTAGGATCTTCATAGTTGTTAATAAATCAGATTCCATGATTATTGGTGTCAATCCATTAGCTAGACAATACTTCAGGCCACTCTCAATAACCTTGATTCGAGCCTCAATAGCTACACAATCTTTCAACTTTCTGGCTTCAGCATAATAAAATCTCCATCTGAGTTTCTGATACATAATGCTACTGAGGTAGGCCCAGGGTTGCTCCTACTAGCCCCATTAGTATTACATTTGTAACAATTATTAGATGGTGCCTTTCATATCACTATTTTGCTGCAAATTAATGGTTTGTACTCCTCTAGATATTTAACCATTTATGGCCATGTGTTAGGAACACCACTCATCCATGGGAACTTACTCTTGACAAACCAAATCGATTGTCTTGTGATTCCCAAAATCATTGCTCTGATGGTCATATTACTTTCATCCAAAGCCCTGCAAGCATCTTGCAGAGTACAAGGTGAAAACTGGTATATGTGGGTACAATTTGATTCAAGATTGTTTTAAGACAACTCCATATGGTAGGACAACATTGGAGAAGTCGAAATTGGAGATACCTAGATGTAGTTTTTGTAGCGGGTGTCAGGGCAGATTATACATGTGTTTGATATGTTCATCAGTGTTTTGTTATTTGTCAACTTAATCAAACCATGTCCTTTTGCATAGCCAGTCTCAAGATGGACATGAGATTTTAGTAGATATGGAAAGGGCTGAGCCTTATTGCTCTGTGTGTTGTGATCAGGTGTATGATCCTGATTTTGATAAGGTTGAGATTTGTAAACATATCAAGGGGTTTTCATGAAATGAAAATGGGGTTGAGGAGAGTGAGATGCAATTGAGTAAGAGGAGATGGTTGAGTTTTGGGATGGATTTAGATTCAAAGAATATGAAGAGATTTTTTATTCGGAAATTGAAATCGTGTTTTCCAATGGGATTAAGAGGTTTGAACAATTTGGGGAATACTTGTTTCATGAATTATGTGTTGCAAGTGTTGCTTCATGCACCCCTTTTTAGAAATTACTTCCTTAGTGATAGACATAACCGAGAAATTTGCAGAAAGATGTCATCGGATTGATTGTGACTGCCTTGTGACATTGATCTCATGTTTTCTGCTGTATTTTCTGGTGATCGGTCCCCTTATAGTCCAACTCAGTTTCTTTACAGGTCTATGACTGTTAGTTGAATTTATCTCCTATTATTGAACTCGAGTAGCTTTCTGTAT